TAGATGTGAGACAGTAGCATGCCCATCCATCCCAGATTATGATGAAAGTACAAATATGGAGATCATTGAATAAGCAAGTAGAGACAAAACTGTGAGTCTAAATTGAGCGCTTAACTAGAGCAACAGGGTTCCTATACTGCTGAACCCAAACAGGGAGATCATTGAGTAAGCCAGTACAGACAAAAGCACGATTCTAAATTGAGCACTTAGTACAAGTATGGTGATCTAAGTTCAAACCTCAGTATTTGAGAGAAGTCATGGAGTGGGCAGAAGAGGTGGCGATATAGCTCAAGTAAATGAGCACATGCTTAGTCTGCACAGACTTTAGTGTCAGTAGTCAGCATTTTGGTAAAAAAAAAAAAAAAGTATGGTTTCTTATGCATAGTGCAACTTAAATATTCTGTTTGTTTTTTATTTGTTCACAGTGACATAGAAACCATGCCGGAAGTTGTCATCATTTCTGGTAACAACACAACTACTGGGTGAGTTGTTTTCTTTTGTCATTCACATGGTAAACCATTTTTGTGGATGGGGTATTATGACAATCGACAAAATACATGATGACCTAACAAAAATTCTATGTAGCAATATTCAGTTTTGCAACTAAATAGAAAATGAAGCAGGTCAAAAGAGACTTGGTCATAGTCTGCTGTGAATTCAATGACTGGCAGGCACAATCCTTAGTCAGAATATCAACGTGCATGTATGGGACTCATAAAGATCCGAGAAATGTAAGAATTCCTCTCAGAAACACAGAGGTAGGTCCACTGTTCTGTAGATCTCAGTAGATAGGAGAATCATCTACCTCAGACGAATTCTACATTCTCCAGAACTCAATTACCCTGAAAGGCCCACCATCACATTGGATGGGAGTCCTGCTTCTAGCCTTATGTTCTTTGTTCTTCCCTGACAGGCAGGAAAGACTGCCATGATTACTTTATTAAGGAGGGAATAGAGAAGATATAAGAAGCAGAAAATTAGATAGAAAATTAGATTGTGAGGGTTGAGTTATTGTGAAGTAAGCTGAATTTAAAATTAGTTCAAGAACAATAGGACATTAA